AGTTGCGCCCTTTCGACCACATAAATCGTTTTGGTGACATGGCTTTGCTTGTCATAGTAAAGCAGGAAAAGTTGGCAAAGGCATGTTCATGCTAACTGTGCTGCACTCTCTAGATGATGCATAACAGCATGGTCACATTGTTTAACTCTAAAAGTATTTATTAAAATAAAAAAAAAAAAACATAACGAGGAACTTTATACTGTACAAACTTTGCACTTCTAAAGAACCATATGCTGATAGTGAGGAGGAAAATTTATTCACAAAAATTAAAAGCAACACTTTTTAAGTGCAACTACACACCTAAACAACTTTATAAAAAAAAAAAAAGTGGGAACAGGCAGTTGATCACAATGATCATACTGCAACAATGTTACCAGGGGTAAACATGCAGTCCTTGTGAGGTAGTCATGATTCATGCGAAGGAAAACGGGATCGTCGATCACTCCGTCCTGGCACGTAATGCAGGGGCGGCTTACTCTTGTTATCGGATGCCCTTCTGCACCTGGTTCACAAAGCCTTTGAGAATTAAGAAGAATGTGCATAAATGGCCGCTTCTGTCCGGCGCTGCCAGTACAAACCAGTTGACAATCGCCTGCACATTGATCGCGACCATACGCCATACTCTATGCAGCTTCTTTGGTAACATCGTTTCCAAAAATAAACAATGCTATAGTTGAAACTAAACATTTCAGAGAAATCTCTCTGGTTGGGGAATACAATAATTAAAATATGGCAACCAACCAATTCCTAAACATGTAGGGGCCCTACGTTTCGAACCGACTCGGTTCTTCGTCAGGGGCGACTGTGGCCGTTGAGGAGCGACGTTTTTCGATCTTCTTTTTCTTTTCTCAGGGATGTGGCGCATTTCTCGATCTTCTTCTTTCATGAATATGGCGAAGCCCGTTCACATACACTGTTGGTAAAGCACCAAGGCACCTATTCATGTTGCCTGGCGTCGTTTGAATATGCCAGGACTCGACGAAAAGCCTATGTCGGTTGTTAGTTTCTGCGTCGATAATGCTGGTGTTGTCGAAGTCAATCCGGTGGTCTTTGACTTCGCAGTGCTCGGCGACTGCGCTGCGCTCGTGGTCGAGCTTGCGAACGTCGTTTTTGTGTTGGCGTATTCTTTCATTAAAATTCTTTGTCTCGCCGATGTAAGTGGCTGGACAATCTGCACAAGGGATCTTATAAACCACGCCCTGAGTTTTTTCTTTCGGAGGGCGATCTTTTGGACGGGGCATGAGTAATCCAAGCGTGGACATCGGCTTGTGGGCTACGCGGATTCCTTCTTTGGCTAGCACGCGTGCAAGCGCCTCGCTTGTTCCTCTGATGTAGGGTTTAGTTCGTTTATATGCTATAGTTCGTTTAAAAAATGCCAGGCAAGTCCCTTCAAAATGATTCACTCCAACTGAACTTAGTCATGTTCAAAATATCACAAATAAACATGTCCTACAAGCGTTACAACCTTTATATGCATTATGCCCAAACGTAAAGAACACATTTCTTCTCAAAAGTTCAAACCAAAATCTTTTTAAATGTAACACATGTCATCAAAGACCACTTCGAGAACAACACCTTAGTATGAACGCACAGTGGATCGCAATAGTTTTACTGCAACATTACCAAGGGTAGCTGACCCCTGCAAGGTACATCATGTTATATGCAGCCTCTTTGGTAACATTTTATCAAAAATAAGCGACACTATAGCATGTTAACTAAAAATTCCAAGCAAACCCCTTCAAAAGCATTCACTTTGTCTGAACTTAGACATGTTCAAAATATCACATTATGAATGAACAGTGCCATACAAGCATTACAACCTTGACGAATGTTATGCTAAGCGTAAGGAAGAACACATTTCTTCACAAAAATTCAAACCAAAAATCTTCAGATTTTTTATTAAAATCGATTTCACCTGTCACCAAAGACAACTTCAAAAACAACACCTCAGCTGGAATGCGCAGTGGATTACAGTGGTTTTACTGCAACATTACCAAGGCAAGGTGCACCACACAATATGCAACTTCCTTAAAAAACCTTTTTTTTGTGAAAAAAACCACAGCAAAAGCTTGTACACTAAAAAGTTCGAAAAAGTCACTCCGCCTGAAATTAGACGTGCAAAAAAATATTGCAGTGCAAATACACAAGAACACAGAAACGATGTTCACAGGCAGTGAAAGGCAAGTATGAAAGAGAAAACAAATGCACAGACAAGAGGCCTGGCATAATGAGCTTCAAAACAAACTGCTGTGGTCTGATATATATAAAGTTTGCAAGCGAAACCTCAGACGCACACAAAGGAAAGCTGTTTTTACCTCCTACTTCCCGCTGGCACTCTGCTCCTAGCTGATGACAGTGTTCCGGCGTCGGAAGTGCTGCAAGGCCTCTCAATCCGACTCTAGAAATCCAAAGATAAAGGTGAGTACATTTTATCTTCTAGACAAAAAAAGTACTGCCCAGATATAGTACAATAGTTAACCAGAAAAGAGTGCACAAAAAGAATAAAAATATGGTATGCATTGTACGCCCTCACAAAAAGAAAAGTAAAAGGTGGCAGGTCAATAAACAAGAAACTGTGGCTGCTATACATTATTCAACTGAAATCCAAAAAATAAATGCTAACAAGGACATTGTCGGCTTGAAGCGGTTAAGCAAGAGAACAAAAAAAGCCTTTTTTCTTCGTCTCTGCGTGTGTGTCCGTAAAACGTTCAGCTGGCAATTTAACAATCATGAACCAACTAGCTCAGCTTCAAGCCTTAACAATAAAAAAGTGTTAAGCTAAATAGCACCAGGACGGGGTACCGGGCACCATAGTTAGCGCCTGTTTGTCTCCTTTCCTATTTCAAGTCTGTTAAGCTGGGGTACACTAACATTTGCGATTCTGCAAAGCAAACCAAATTTGGGGTTTTATGGCTCAAATTCGAGCAATGAGAAATGCCACAGTGGCAGTCTCCTGATTTGTTTAACCACCGGGGGTTTTGCCCCAAAGAAACGCAGCCTCTGGCGGGGAAATGAATGGCTCAGGCTGGGATGGGACGCATTAGCTACTGTTCCACAGAGGGGGTTGAAAGACCTTCAACTGCGTTAAAGGGGCCCTCCGGAGCTTTCTGCGATCGTCTGTTTATGTTGGTATGTTGCGTGGTACGCGCAAGTTAATATGTATACAAAGTTTTAGATTACAAAACCGTTTATTAAGCAGATGGCAGAAGAAGTATATCGGGACTATTTTCTCTTGGAAGACAATCCCCCATTCCCTGCCCATCGCTAAAACTTGACCAATGGAAATGCTGCATCTCGCGGTGAATGCGAACGTTATTATTGCAACACTTTTTAAGCTTGTTGTAAATTAGAGTTTGAGAAAAACGTAAACTGATTGTGGTGCGGGAAACATAGTCCGCAATTATCGCTCCAAAACCAGCGAACTATGTTTTCTCCCCACAAGCTTGTTGCTAGGGGGTGATACGTCGGCGCGTCGGCTCGTCTGCTTCCCGGGGCGTCTGCAGACGTGCGTTTGCGGGACACGTGTTCCTTCTTCCCGTGGATCCCGACTCCGAAACCAGCTTTGCGATCCTTCCACGTCAACGAGTCGAACTTTTCCTTGTCATCTGTGGGATGCGACTGCGTATTGCAGTAGCAACGCGACGGTGCGGTGCGACGAACGACGACTGCCGAGCACAAAGTCCGGGTTCCTTGACGACGGTCCGCGCGTTTTCCAGAGATTCCTCCTCGGGTCGGCGGTCGGCGGCGTTGGTGACGCGCAGTGACGCCAGAATCCTTCGCTTGCTATTGGCTGACGCGTAAAGAGATGCCCCTCCCGTTTTCCGGGGTCATCTCAGAAAGGGGGGGAGTGCCGGGGACTTTGATAGCAATTTTAGTAGGGAAATCCACCGCGCATGACCGTAATTTTATGATTTTTAGGATCCTTAGGGCCTGTAGATTGAGTCACCGCCATAAATAGATCATCGCAGAACGCTCCGGAGGGCCCCTTGAAAGCAATATGGTTGTAGTAATCAATGGGATGATGAATTACCATAAAAGTCCGAGCAAGCGCCCACTCAAAATAAGGAGATAATTGCAAAAAATTGGGGAATGGGCGCTTGTTAGGTCATCAATTGTTCTTATGTGTTGTGGAAATCACTAGGTTTCTCTGCCCTACCTAGGCCCTAGCCACGTGCAGGCCATGGGGGTCGTCGCAATTATAGCGACGGCTTCCCAGATGCGAGGATTCGAGGCCGTATTCCCCGAAAGAGACGGCTCTCCCATCGCCCTCGTAGGGTGAAAGTGCCGCCGGCGCACCCTTGGGAGTGATTGTGGACGCGTCCCGTTTCCGGGCTAAAATTCTACCGGCCTCCCCGAGGCGCGTCCATTTCCCGAAAGGCTATATAAGCCGGCCCCAAACCTGGGCCGGGGGCTGCAGTCGGCGGAAGCTCTTGCTCTATTGAACTCAGTTTTTCTTTGTGGGCTTCCAACTTCTTGTGAATCTGTCTATTGCGGCAGCGCGGGAAACCGACCGGGTGATACTGGCAATTGAGCCAGCGCCCAGACTTTCACTGACCTAGAGCGAAGCATGTTGGCATTTGAGTCAATAAACACGTCGAAAATGGATTCACTGTTGTTGAGGAAGTCGAAGAGAAGAAAGAAGAAGGCACGAGGAATCGAAATACCGATAGAGACTTTAGAAAGATGAAGATGAGGGTGTTGTTCTTTTTACCATTAAACCCAACGGTCACATAGACCTTTTGATGCTAAAGTCCACCGTCTCACTGATAGATCTTTAAGAATTCCACATGGTGCCGAAACCCGGGAATTGAGCTTCAAGTCATCGTATCGTGCTGAACAAGACGTTGCGAAGGCGAGTGAAACGGGAATCGTATTGATCACAAATAGCCAAACGACGGAAGCATTACGACCGGGAGAAGTAACGCGAAGATAAACTCTTCGGCTTAGAGATCTACAAGGTTGGAAACGGCATCAGCTGTCCACTGAGCTCACAAATAGCCATGGATCGGTTGAAAGCCAAGCGTTCAGCCCGGCGAGCCCAGAACACGCGGCTTATTAACGACGCCGAAACGATCTTGAACGATCCACAGACAGACTTAGGCAGGCTCCACGCGGTCAAGGATCGGCTGTCTGCCAGCAACATCGAGCTAGACCGCATCAACGAGGAGCTGGAGCCACTATTGCCAATCACGGAGCTGGAAAATGAGCACGCTTCGGTAGCCGAATACCAAGACCACGCCATCAGGGTTGTCGCAGAGCTGCGATACAAGATCGAACACCTGGAGATCACCAGACGTAACCCTGTTCCTCCTACAACGGCCCCATTACAAGGCGCTTCTGAAAGTATCACCCCAGTGAGTGGCCCAAGAACGCCGAAACTGGACATAACCATTTTTAAAGGCGACATCAGCCACTGGCGCACTTTCTGGGAGCAATTTGATGGAACAATCTACTCAAGTCGGGCATTGTCTACAACTGACAAGTTCCATTACTTACGACGCTACCTCGCAGGCGATGCAGCATCGGCAATTGCCGGGTTACCGACGACCGAGCGGTGCTATCCAGATGCTATTGAACTCCTGAAACAGCGCTTCGGAGATCCCAAAAGAATAGAGCAGGAGCACCTATCAGCACTGCGAAACCTTCCTCAGATTCGACCTTCGGTTGACACCCGGGGTCTTCGCAAGCTTTATGATTCAACGCAGCTGAACATACGTTGCCTCAACGCCCTAGATGTTACAACTGCAAGTTTTGCGGCAATCCTCAGCGACATTCTGATGAAGGCAATGCCATATGACATCGTCGTGCAATATCATCGGCAAGTCAGCTACAAGCTCTCAAGCAGCGCAAATGTGATGCAGGGCGACGGTTCCGCATCAGAGACATCCACTACCGCTTCGAATCTCAATGAGATTCTCAGTTTCCTCCGCATCGAAGTAGAAAGCAGAGAGCTAAGCGGCCACCCCGCAGCTCGAGGCAAGGAGCAAACAGACGAAACGACGGACCAGTCCCAGCCGGCGGCATCAGCGCTCCATAGTGCGGCACCTTCAGTGCCAGGGGAATGCCTTTTTTTTGTCACTCGAAGAAGCACGAGACACAATTTTGCGATGCTCAGGAGACGCTATACAACAAAAAGAAGATGTTAGGAAGAGATGGGAGTTTGCTTCCGGTGTACTACAAAAGGGCATCGTGCTAGGGATTGCCGAAAAAGATTGATTTGCTCATCATGCGGTGGTCGACATGCCGTCACTATGTGTGACCCGTCAAACACACGAACAAAAGAAGGAGCAGTCGCCTGTGTGTCTTCGTCTAAGGCGTATGAAAAGAGAGATGACTCGTGTCAACGGACAATCGGAGATCGAGTCCACCTACAGACATTTAAAGCATGGGTCATCAACAAGGACACCGGCCGATATATAAGGGGAATTCTGGACGGAGGCAGTCAGCGATCATTTATTCAAGAAGACTTGGCGCAGCGATTGAATCTCAAGATTCTGCGGAAGACGAAGCTTAAACTGAACACGTTTGGCAGCACTACCAGCAAGGAGCTTGAACATAGCAATGTAGTGGAGGTCCGCCTCAAGAGTCAATTTGACGATAGCGAGTGCTTAATCGAAGCGGTAACCATTCCGGTTATTTGCCAGGACATTGCAGCGCAAATTTCTGAGGACAGTTTTGTAGAGTTCTTACGCCTGCAAAATAGAAATCTAGCAGATGACACAGTGGTTCCAGAAGTGCAAGTTACGCCGGGAATTAGCTTACTTATTGGATCCGACCAAGTTTGGAAAATCCTCACAGGAGAGGTCGTGAGATGTAAGGAAAGCGAGGGGCTGGTGGCGGTCAACACGAAAATAGGTTGGACTTTGCAGGGAACGTCTATACCAAAAGGAATCTTGACGTCCGCATCGACTTTGATGGTATGTGTACTGAACACCCAAACTTTGACAGAGGATGAAATTACATCCGAATTACTAAAAGCCTTCTGGGTGCTGGGTGCCATGGGAATTTCGGCTAAGGAAGCTGCGGACGACAATCTAAGCCTCTGCGCATATTTTGAAGACAACATAGTCAAAGATGGCCAACGGTACGAAGTAGCGTTTCCTTGGAAGGAGGATTGCGCAGAGCTTTTGCAGAACAATCGAGACATAGCAGTCTCACGCTTGCGTTCGCTTCTCAGACGACTTTCATCCAAAGAGGGCTTACTTCATCGGTACGACACCACCATCCGTCAGTACATAAAGTTAGGTCATGCGGAAGTGGTACCATCCGACTTGGAAGGTGATAACAACAAACGCATCCATTACATGCCACACCGAGAAGTTGTCCGGGAGGAGTCTACAACCACAAAGCTACGAGTAGTCTTCGACGCTTCGTCACATGCAAAAGGATGCAAGTCTCTTAATGACAGCCTGGAAAATGGACCAAACCTGAATCCAGACATCCTCCAGATCCCTCTTCGGTTCAGATGGTACGCGATCGCCTTGACAGCTGACATTGAAAAGGCTTTCCTTCAGATAAAAATCAGTCAAAAAGACCGTGATGCGGTCAGATTCCTGTGGTTTGCCAATGAGCCCACCGGGCCATTTGATTTAGAAAGCTTACAGGAATGGCGAATGACCAGAGTCCCTTTCGGGGTATCCTCCAGTCCTTTTCTATTGTCTGGGACAATTCAACACCACCTAAAAAATGTGGCTGCTACAAAGAACATTGCTGAAAAAATAAGGAGCTCTTTTTATGTCGATGACATTTTGATGGGTGCCGACACGGTCGAAGAAGCGATTACGCTATACGAGACGTCTAACTCTATCATGAAGGCTGCGGGCATGAACTTGAGAAAATGGGCCTCTAACGACAAGCGCGTGCAGCACATGATGAACGAAGCGGAAGCAGATGCGGTACCGGCAGACAGGAACCTTAAGCTGTCCAGAATCTCCAAGGTGCTGGGGATGATTTGGGACAAGGACAGTGACAGTTTCAAGTTTTCGGTGGACTCTCTTACATCGTTCCTTCAGACAAAATTGGACACCAAGCGTACCATTCTGCAAGCTGCGTCAAGAATATTTGATCCCATGGGATTCATTGCCCCTTTCACTATACGAGCTAAGCTCCTTTTCCAGAAACTATGGAAACTGGGAGTGAACTGGGATGAAGAAATACCTGAGGAACTATATGTCGAATGGTCCGACTGGTGCTGAGACATTCCTAACATCTACGCAGTACATGTGCCAAGGCACATTAAGAATAGACAAAAACACCGTTTAAAGAAGTACAGTTGCACATATTCGTGGACGCCAGCACACAGGCATATGGAGCGTGCGCCTATCTAAGAATCGAAGATAACAGCGGGCACGTTGGGACTACCGTAGTTACCGCAAAGTCAAGAGTGGCGCCTCTTAAGGTATTGTCTTTGCCACGATTGGAGCTCATGGGAGCCACAATTGGAACGAGGCTGCTGGAATACCTAGGTTGTACGTACACAGAGCTTAAAGAAACATACACCATGTGGACCGACTCGACAGTTGTGCTAAGTTGGATAAGAGGTCCGGCGAGCAGGTGGAAGCCATTTGTCAAACACCGCGTTCTAGAAATTCAAACTGAGAGCGTGCCAGAGAAATGGAGACATTGCCCGGGAGACACTAACCCAGCAGACCTGCTGACAAGAGGAGAATCTCCATCGATTCTTCGCGATAGCTGTCTGTGGTGGGAAGGGCCGAAATGGCTCATTTCTGGAGCAGATGACTGGCCGGAAACCCCACCTCAATTAGGGGAACTCAATGAGCTCGAAACAGATGAGTTGAAACCGACCCAGGTGTACCTGCAAACAGATGGTCAAGAAACGGCCGCACTTTTTGATCTAAAGAAGTACAATGGGTATCAAAAGGTGCTTAGAATAACAGCCTGGGTGATGAGGTTTGCGCGTAACAGCAGTTCTAAAGAAAATAGACAAGTCGGCCAATCGGAGGCCGTAGAATATGCTGCAGCAGAACAATGTTGGATAAAATAAGCTCAAGGACAGGCCCTCTCAAGGGAGATTCAGTTGCTTTCTAGCAATCAGGACATTGAGCCGGCCTCTCCTCTTTCGGATCTGCATCCATTTCTGGACCATGATAATACGCTCAAGGTAACGGGACGGCTGCAACAATTCAATGCCCCTTGCTCCGTGACACAGCCGATCATATTACCGAACGATCATCGTCTGACTGAGCTGATTATTATGGATGCTCATTATCAAGTCGGTCATGAAGGAGTATCTAGCACCATGGCCACCCTCCGACAGCGATTTTGGATACCTCGAGCACGACAGGTAATTAAGAAGACTATCCGAAACTGTCTTCTATGTTCGAGGTTTCGCACGAAGCCTACACTTGTACCGTTCGCTCCCCTTCCAGCGGAACGAGTGAATGTTACAAAGCCGTTTGAGATCTCAGGCATTGACTTCGCAGGACCTTTATTTGTGAAGGCAGCGAGTGCAGGAACTAGCAGCTCTATGGCGTATATTGTCTTGTTTACGTGCGCGACAACAAGACCTGTCCATCTGGAGCTCTCGAGCGACCTCTCCACGGAAGCGTTTCTTCTCGCATTTCGAAGGTTCATTTCCCGAAGGGGAATACCAAGTACAATATACTCTGACAATGCTACTTCCTTCAAGGTGGCGTCGGCTGACCTAAGGGTAATTTGGAACTCCCTGAGTCATCCGGACTTATCGTCATACCTTGCTGAACGGAGAATTAGATGGAAATTTATTGTTGAAAGCGCTCCCTGGTGGGGAGGATGGTGGGAGAGGTTAGTTCGCTCAGTAAAGGTAGTTTTAAGGAAAGTTTTGGGAAGAAGCAGTCTCAAGTTTGAAGAGCTAGCAACGGTGCTTGTAGAAACAGAAGCCATTATTAATTCCCGACCATTAACATGCGCTTACTCCAACCTCAAAGAGCCGACACCTGTCAGTCCAGCTCATTTTCTGATTGGACAAAGTCTCATTGCTCTTTCGGAAGTCGGCTCAAACTCTCAGCTTCCCAAGACCATGACTCACAGGGAATCCACTCGGAGGCTGAGGTAAAGACAACTGATTATGGACCACTTTTGGAATCGGTGGAGTAAAGAGTATATCGTGCAACTGCCATCGGCTCATCAATACCCAAATGTCAAGGCTGCTTCGTTGAAAGTTGATGACGTAGTCCTGTTAGAGGACAAAAAATGTCCAAGATATTTTTGGAAGCTCGCCCGAGTTACAGAAGTCTACGCTGGAACAGATGGGTGCGTTAGAGCATGTCTCGTCAGAGACAAAGATGGAAACGTTTATCGAAGACCAGTTCAAAAGCTGCATCTACTTGAAATCCATTCAGCTTTGCTTGCTCGGGAGGATGTTGAGGAAGTCGAAGAGAAGAAAGAAGAAGGCACGAGGAATTGAAATACCGATAGAGACTTTAGAAAGATGAAGATGAGGGTGTTGTTCTTTTTACCATTAAACCCAACGGTCACATAGACCTTCTGATGCTAAAGTCCACCGTCTCACTGATAGATCTTTAAGAATTCCACAACTGTTTTGGTGGAGTCTCTCGTCCAACGGATCCAAGAGGCAGTCAATGGACGGACCCGACCGTAGCTAACCCACAGTGTGTACTGTGAATTCTTTTTCAGATGTTGCCAAATTTTGGGGTGGGTGCTTAGTATTGAGTGGGCAGATGCTCGGTATTTTACGGTATCATATTTATCTTGCACTGGCCTCATAAAAGCAACATTTTCAAAGCCCTATGGCTACACATGCATGAAAAGTGTACCTTCAGTCTGGTCCGCTTGAGGTGCTTTGCACCTTTGGCCCTTGGCCCTTTGAGGGGCGTGCCGAAGCCAAGACTTGATTGTGTCCTCGATGGCATCTTTACCTCCTGGCAACATGTTTGCAGCATCTGAAACCAGATTAGTGCATATGACTAACAACACGATACCCAAATATGCTTGAAAAAAGAAAGGGGATCAGTGGTCAATCATTTTAGTGCAAGGCAGCTCAGAGCACATGGAGCAAACATTTGCTCGGCAGAACCCACGGATCCTGAGTCGAGTCCTTAGCCGTCCCCATTCCCATTAGGGTAAGAAACATACTAGCATGCGCTTGAGCAAGAACTTCTGCTTGGTGCACTTAAAGGGCCCCTGAAAAGAAAAAAAAAGTTTTTTTTTAAACAGTCTGGTTGGGACACGTGTGTCGAAAAATGAATTTTACGCGAAAAAACATTTTTTTAGAGCAATATTGACGGCGAGAGATTTATTTGAAATTTTGCGCGCTAATTCCAGGTCATTCAGCTCGGCTTCTCATTGGTAACCATGGTCATTCAAATCGGCTTCTCATTGGCCAATATAATGAGTGACAGCTTAGATGTTGGTTATAAAATCTTCGTGATCTCTTGAGATCGCCTTTTGAATTACACATTTTTAGGTTTAAGAAACAATCCACTGAATGATTGTCGCAATTGCTTACAAACGTTTTACAAAATCGTAACTTCCGTTCGGATACTACAACAAAACAACAAACAAACGCTTCGCCATTTTGTTTTCTGTCATGGTCGCCGTCGTTGTAACGCGTCTCGCGTACCTCGGGTGGTTTTATAGTTTTATCGAGTTTATATGTGAAAACCTTCTGAAGAGGGCTTGTTGCTTGTGTTAGTTAGTCATCGTAAGTACTTAGGAAGTGGCGCGGTGTGACAGGTTTTGTTTTCCTGCTCTTCTTTGCGTGATTCGTGTGTCCCGTTTACCCCATCTTTTGTATGTTTTCTGGCGAGCGCCAGTGCCAATTTTTTTTTTTTTAGATATCGGTTCCCGTAAAGAGTTTAGTGAAGGCACGCGGCACCGCACTCAACGTTTAATAAAAAAATGAGTCACCACTGCGTGTCCTCGCGGTGGCTTGAAGGGTCGTGCGGCTCGGACGAACTCGTCGAGGCACCCGCTTCGCCGCCTTCCGCAGCGAAGTGGGTGCCCCCTCGCGAGCGGTTGTCTCGCGGCGATCGGAGCGGACGCCTTCCGGCTGGCGAGGCGCGTCCTCGTACGGGCGAAGGCCCAGCTGCTGGCAGCGTTGAAGGGTTAAAGCAACCGACGCTTCAGGTCGGGGTCCATCGCGACGAGTATGTACTGTGGGACCACGATACGTGCACGATACGACGCGCTACGTCGTGCGACCGGCAGACACAGGGGCTGTGTTCCAAATCTCCAAATGGATCCGAGTTATTCCGGCGGGTCGTATCACGTGACAGCACAGATTGAAAAACGCTGTACGCGGGTAGGTTTTAGAACGCCAAGGGTACAAAACTCTTACCCTGGGGTAAGATCGAGTAAATTTTGGAACACGGCCAGGAAGTAGCAATGGCTCTCGTGCGGGGCGCAGCCAAGCCGGGAAAGTAGCCAAGCCGATCCACTACGAAGAGGCGGGGTGTACCTCTCCTCCACGCGCCCAAAATGCCGAGAGAGAAAAAGGTGGAAAGGAGGTGACTGCCGACTAAATTGCGTCTGGCGCGGTCAATTTTGCTCTAAAAAATTTTTTTTTTCGCGTAAAATTAATTTTTTGACACGCGTGTCCCAACCAGACTGTTTTTAAAAAACTTTTTTTCTTTTCAGGGGCCCTTTAAGAAACACCCAGCCTAGCAGCCATACTACGGTGCCTGGAACGCATCTTCACCGAGTGTGCTTATCGAGTTTTATTTTTGGCTTTTCGTGTTCCGGCTTGTAGCATCATACATCTTCATGTTGTTACCTGTTGCTACCCTGGCGGTGGCACAGCAGGAGCTGCGGCAAACGCCTGTTGCAGTTCGCTCAGCAGACAGTCAGCTGACAAAAACTATCCAGACACGGTTCGAAATGTCGCAACAGCAGAAATCCTTACATACATTGGTGTTCTGGTATTTCCTCCACCAACTGCCGGATTGGTGACAATTAACAGCATGAAATGCTTGCTTTGCGGTTGTCACTTCTTACCACTTACCAGTTAGAGACGCGTCCCGGGCACCATAGCCATACCGCACTGGCTACATTGCTCATCCACAGCACAAGCCAGCGTTGCCATACACTGCAAGATCGACTTTATGCTTTCTAGCGTCTAACTTGCTTCTGCTTGAAAAATGTGCATCTCACAAAAAAATGACAGGCCACACAAGTTAATCAAAATGGGCAAAGTATCTAAGGATTCAATGTACAGAAATATGCGAGACATAAACCAGGTCAATTTCATGCTAACCTGGTAAAAAGACAAAATTACTCAAGTGAGGGAAGAGCAGTGCGAGGGATTTTTGTTTTTGTCTCCGTGTTTCCCAGAGGGGTCCAACTCAAGAGAAAATGTCTTCCCAGGCACTGTGACTGGCTCGAGAGGCCCATATCTTTTGCCATTGTCCTTGTAAGTACAATAAAAGGAGGTAAACATTCAGCAATGATTACTTCAATATCTGAGATGAAAATAGCTAAAAAATATTTTCATATTCACAGGAAAGCTGGTAAACAATACAAACTTGGCTTCTTTCTTGCTGTCAAAATAAGTAAGCGACTATTTACATAAAAGATGGCCAAATAATAAAAAAAATATTTTTGAGCTTTTTAGAAGTGATGTCGTACATCTAAAAGTAAACCTTTAGATTAGATTTGTTTGACGTCGAAATAGTCACTTTCTCAGGTTTCTGGCTTACCAGTAGTTGCAGCGGCAGTCTTTAAAACTGAAAAGTTGAGTTTTCCCTTTCTTCCGATCCACGAGAACTGTGCAGCTAGCTCATCAGTTAGCAGATGCGTCAGCATCCGCTTCGTGGCCTTGCTTGCAGTCTTGCCCCCGAGTTGCTTGAGCTCATGAGCTTGCATAAAAATACACCATGGGATATTTGGAGTGAATGTAACTTAATTCAAGGAAGCATGGCATAACCCAGGTATGATTATGTGAAAAATATATTTGTGGTAAAATGTCTCGAACACAACTACTGCAGTGTTGGCCACGCAAATACAGCACTACTGACGGAGCTCTTCACTGCACCGCACGTTGCCTGCTATTTGCGCCTCCAGTTCGTTGCTCGCCTTCTCGCGGCAGAAATGGGAACTGTTCTAGCGAGGGTCACCCGTCTTCTTTCTTCAGCAGCCTCTGCAGAACTCTGCGTCATCGCTGACCATTTCGCTCTGGCATCTTTTGCTTTTAATTAAGCGCCTCCAATTTTACCTCACTTGGCTGAATGGTCAGCTGCTCAATAGAAACCGAACAACAGCTGCATACCCATCAAACATTTCTCTATGTACAATGTCTAATGAACGTTTCAGGGGATTATGTCATGTGGTTTTCAATATGATGCAAAAGACAACTGCAGTGTTCTCTTAAACTGAAATTAAGCCAAGTTACCCTTTAAGCAGCCACACAGCTGTATAGCAGTACTAAAGTAAAATACTTACAAGACGTGGAGCCTTCTCTTCATCCAACTCTTTCTCGAAGGCCAGGAGGTCAGGTAGTGTGTTCAACGCTTGTTCGACGAGGGACGGGTGTGCAATAACTGCGTGGACTGGAAGGATTGCGCAGAGCTTGTTGAGCATCTCGCCATGCTGCTTAATATCTTGAGGAGAGCCGTCAGTGGCCTTCTTTTAATCCGACTCTCTACAGCCCAATCCAGCAAAGAATCCTGGAATTCGCAGAGCGCGTTTGTGCCTTCTCTAGCACTATCCCCGTTGCCTTCGGAATCATGTAAACTTGGCGGGCCGCCTTCAGCTAACTCGGCAAACGAACGGCCTTGGTCGTAACCTGCCCCTTCGTGCCTGGGGTCTTGGCGGTAGAGATGATATGCGGGCGAGTCAGCACTCGAGGCACCATCGACGGGAACAATTCGCCCAATCGGGGATCCGCGGGCATGTTCAGCAGCGGCAGGCGTGCTCCTGCTCGAGACGACGTTCACTTGGGTTGCACTCGGCCTCCTGTATGTCCTTGCTGGCATGCTCAAGAAGCGCTAAAGTTCTTGTTTCTCGGGAGGCTTTATCACAGGCGTATGCCGGCCGTGATCCAGGCATGGTGGCACAGTACTCACAGTCAACGCGGGCTACTACGCTACGGCATGCCTCAGTGCACAATGGCGATATAGCCGAATTCGTACGTAAATAGGATACATATCGGACTAAATGAATACAATGAGGTACCCACGCCTTATCTCCGAGAGGACGAAACCAAGTGGAAAACCCGCCAAAACGTTCGCGCGCGCACTAGCTGCAGAGGAGCCAGAAAAACAGGATTGATGACGATGGCGATCTAGCAGCCTCTCCAGCAAATAACTCCAAAAACAAAACAAAAACACACGGGATGAAAACACGGCGCATCACCATTAAATTAATCAGTTACAAAATTTGGGCAATATTTTGTGTAACAAAATTGTCATCGTTGACCGAAACCAACATTATTAGACCAACTGCCAAGCTTCGTTTCAGAACCGAGTTGACCGAGTCGCGGCCAAGGAGGATAGAAGGGTAGGAGAGGCAAGGCGAATAGAAGGGTAGGAGAGGGCATGAAGTCGGCCGTGCTCCCTTGACGCCTCGCCTCTTTCTCATTTTCCTCCTTACTCTCCTTACTTACCATGCCAACGTGACCAGATCACGTGACCGTAGCTAGCCTTCGTCTTGCTATGGGGTACTAAAATACACCACAGTCTAGCCTTCGATCTGATAAAACCTACCGGACGGAGCGCGCGCAAGCCTGCAAGGAGTCCTTCTACAATCAAACATCCATCTAACACGTGACATATCACGCGCACCAATCGCCAGAGAAATCTGCGGTCACGCTGGGCACAAAATCGTTTAAACTTTTTATGACTAGGCTTCACCAATATCGCAACGTGTCTTTCTAGTACTTATAACCTCCTTGGTTGCGGCGCAGCAGTCGCGCTCCATCCCATCGTCCAGTATGGCGCCGTTGGCGCTCTAGCCTGTGCGGTGGAAGCGAAGCGCGTATCGTGTAGCCGTTCGTTCTCCTACGAGCTCTTCAATCCACTTTCCTGGTATGTGGCCACACTGGTTTGCTTTTTTTTTATATATAAAAGTTCGTTCCGAGCGGTGCGTGACTTGCTCCTTGCTGTCTCGTCTCTCTCTCGCCTCGAAACACAATGAAGTCGAGTAACAAATTACAAAACTTCTCGGATGCACAATAAAAGCTGTGACTACATCTCGGTGGCGCTGTGCTCCCGTTTCGGATCTAGTTTAGGGTAGGAAAATCTGAAGGCCGAAGGTAAAGCCATGGGAGGCAACTTCCACACCTGAGACTGCATGCTGCGAGCGCATAGGCTTTATCCGACACGATTGGCTAGCTACCACCAGCTTGCCTGCACACTCGCTGTCTTTTCGCTAGTTTTGGAAACTTGGGGCATTTCTGGTTGCTCAGTGCTGTTCTAGCTTTTCTAATGCACTATATAGACCTGCTAACCGAAGTGATATATGTTGTGTTACCATGGACGTCCAGAGGATATCATGCCCGGGATCTATCGGGCAAATTCCAAAGTGGACATCGAGAGGACATCCACAGGAGCACAGAAAATGGACGTTCTTTATAACCTGAAATACACGTCCCGCGTTGGTCCCTTGGACGTCCCGTTTCGGTCGTTGGGGTCATGGACGTTTGGATCTAAACCGAATGTCCCTCGGATATTCGTGGTCCAATGGGAAGTTTCAACAGGTCGAGTACGTCACCGGGGATGTACACTCTAAGAAAAAGTGAGCACCCCCCCTCGTCATCGTGCGTTTTGACGGCTGTAACAACCCCACAGGCTACTTAACTACCCCCTGGGCTCGAGCCATTGAGAGTTAGCACCCTGTTGGCAGGTGACAAGCATGGGGTAGTCACGTTTTATAAACTCTTGAATTGAACATTCAAGTGCATGCAGTCGTTCAATAGTAAAAGTCACTTCAAAAATCTCAAAAAGTACTTGAAACTGGTTTTCTTTGTGCGTTGGTTATCATTTATTCAAATTTGAACCGGTCGAAACTAGAGCACTATATAGCTCCTACGGAGCAGAGTAGCGCAATCCTTTGAACCCCGTGTTTTGCCGACAACATGGCCGACAGAGCGACTCGGCGCGAGTCACGTGGTACTCAGGGTTCCAGGAGGCGGCCCGCCCTATGGGAGAATACATGGAGATCGATACAACACGGCTGATTAAAAAATGAACGGCGAGTTCACACTTTTCAAAACTAGTCTGCCGTGAAGTTAGTAAAGCACTAAACACTTTATCAAAGTTTTAATAATATCGGATGCGTGTGCAAAGTTTGAGAAGGCAATTTCCAAGGCAATGGCGTTTGAAGCAGACGATTTTTGCTGGCAGCGGAGATGGGCTTTTCGGGTTGGATGGAGCGGGTCAAGTGAATGGTGTGACGTCGCAGTGTCGTCTGCTGCAAGATGCCGCTCAAGCAATTTTTTAAAAAAAAAAGTCAGGTCCTTGCGGGGCACAAAACTTAGCGCAAATTATTCTAAAATGTTCCATTATTATGTCAAAAACAATTGCCACTTCGTACATCCCCACAATATTGAAAAAACAGCGATTGTCTCACGTTCTCCATGCATTTCTGACCGCAGTTGGAACCTCCGGGCGTTCGCCGCTAGTCGCCGAGAGGCGGCGTTCTAGATTGCGCTACTCTGCTCCGAAGGAGCTATATAGTGCTCTAGTCGAAACAAGCGTGTGGCTCAGTTCGCCTAAACTGGCAGAAAACAAAGAAGTACAGGCCACCTTGGTAGGCACCTGCTAAAACCCGAGGCAGATAAAAAGTATCGCGGTTGTCCTTTTTGGTTCCGTCGCGGATTTTACCATGTACAGCAGTAAACAGCTGGCAGCTGGCGTCGTGCTCGAGGAATTTAACCAAATCTCTAGAAAAGCACAGGAAGCTACGCACAGGCGTGAGTTGACTCGAATGTTCGCCGGACGAGATACTCTCGTCATCTTTTATTGTGCGGTTCAGTAAAGAGCGTGCTCTTAATAAAGGTGTGATCAGTCAGTTCTGCGTGCAGATCAGTTGCAAATGGCCTCCTCGGTTCCGCCGAACTTGGGCGCCTGTCGAACCCAATTTTGTTGCTTTCAAGTGCAGTGAAGTATGAAGCATTGAACACCACGACTGAGGCCGGACAGGACAAACGCACACAGATATCTGGGATCATGTCCGTGTATTTCACTATTTCTCTGTCTCGAGGTACATGATTCGCCTTCTCTGGTTCATTTGGCACATTTCATCGAGCAAACTCGATAAAAAAATGCTTCAAACAAGGCCTGTTCAGACACTAGCGTTTGACAGCGTTGCGTCGAGAACCGAAAGCCACTCACCGGCACGTCTGTGCTTCGTATTGTCACGAATTAAGGGGACGAGAAAGAAAAGAGTAAACTGAAAATAAAGGTTTAATGGGCGAACTTGTGCCAAACAAAAATAAGTAACGGAAGAGCGTCGAGGCAGCAGAAAAGCGGGCGGCGATTCGGCGGCACTACAGAGCGCTAGCGAGACTGAGACTGACTCGACAAGGTCGCGGGCAGTTGCTTATCTACCGTGCGTCACTATCTCGAAAGTTCGGCAAGGAAGGTTCGAGCGTCGCGCTCTCGGGGCGAGGATGAACTGGCACTTTCGAGAATAACAAAGCAGAGGGAAAGTTAAGTCTGCTGCGAGAATGACCGGGAATCTTCTAGAAGACCGTGACCGAGCGTTGCCTTCTCGGCTCTGCGGGTGGCATTATTCCCCCTTTAAAAGTGCATCGCCCCGATGCAAAACGAAAGGAAAACGGAAATGGCTAAAACAATTACGGCGAAACAAAACAAACATGCAGTTTCACAATCTTAACGCGCGTAGAACGGCTTGAGTCGAACTACGTGGACGACTTCGGGTCGTGGCTGGCGGCGTCTTGATGGGCGAGTTCCGTCGGGGAGCACCTCGTAGTTCAAGTCCCCAAGGCGGCGGATGACCTTGTAGGGTCCGAAGTAGCGTTTTAACAGTTTCTCGCTGAGGCCGCGGCGGCGAATGGGCGTCCACACCCATACCCTGTCTCCGGGCTGGAACTCCACGTCGCGGCGGCGAAGGTTGTACCGGCCAGCGTCCACACGTTGCTGGTCCTTAATTCGAAGACGGGCTAGCTGGCGTACTTCTTCTGCTCGTTGGGTGACCAGCTGGGCGTCGTCAGTGCCGTCGTCCGTCGGGTCGTGGGGCAGCATGGCGTCGAGCATCGTCGTCACCTTTCTGCCGTGCACCAGCTGAAAGGGTGTAATGCCGGTAGTTTCTTGAATCGCCGTGTTGTACGCAAACGTGACGTAGGGCAACACTTCATCCCACGTCTTGTGTTCCACGTCCACGTACATCGAAATCATGTCGGCGATGGTCTTGTTTAGTCGCTCCGTCAGCCCGTTTGTCTGCGGGTGGTATGCCGTGGTCCGGCGGTGGTCGGTGTGGCTCAGGTGGAGTATCTCTTGTGTCAGTTGCGCCATGAACGAGGATCCTCGGTCCGTAATCAGGACTTGGGGAGCGCCGTGTCGGAGGACGATAGACTCCACGAAGAACTTGGCTACTTCCACGGCGGTCCCCGACGGAAGTGCTTTTGTCTCGGCGTACCTGGTGAGATAATCAGTTGCCACGATTATCCACCGGTTTCCCTGCGTCGACGGTGGGAAAGGTCCGAGAAGATCCATTCCAACCTGCTGGAATGGTGCAGTCGGGGGCGCGATCGGTTGCAGGAGACCTGCCGGCTTCGTCGGTGGTTTCTTGCGTCGTTGGCATTCGTGGCACGAACGGACGTAGAGGTGGACAGTTTTCGGGAGCTTGGGCCAGTAGTATTCTTCCCGGATCCGTGCAAGAGTCCTACTGTAGCCAAGGTGACCAGATGTTGGGTCGTCGTGACAGGCTTGG